TGCGGTTCCCGGCAAAGTGGGAACCGGGACCACAGGACTCAAACCTGTAGCGGGAATCGAAGACGGGGGCCGACCCCGTCGTGGTGGACGGGCCAACACCACCGGCTGCTCCAAGTCCAAATGAGCAGCCTTAACCCGGTCCACCGAGACGGTCTCCGCCTTGCCACCCATGTCGACCACCAGGTGCTTGTCCCCCTGCTACAAAACCCGGAAAGGCCCATCGTAAGGGGGCTGCGGATGAAAACGTAGCGTAGCTCTGCTGGCACCTGAGACCCCGGCGCGCCGTGCTGAGAAGTCGGAACTGGAACGAAAGCCTCCGCCGCATCTTGCAGGAAAACCCGTTGAGCCGTAGGAGACCAAGGAACTGATGCCTTGGGTAGGAATTCCCCTGGGACTCTCAGGGGTTGACCGTAAACCATCTCCGCCGTGGAGCACTGCAGATCCTCCTTAGGCGCGGTCCTCAGGCCCAACATCACCCAGGGCAGCTTGTCGACCCAGTTACCGTCCGTAAGGCCGGCCTTGAGCGCCGCCTTCATAGAGCGATGGAAGCGCTCGCAGAGGCCGTTAGCCTGGGGGTGGTAAGCGGTAGTCCTGTGCAGTTTGACCCCCAAACTGTCTGCAACAGAGCCCCAGAGCCCTGAAGTGAACTGTGAGCCCCTGTCCGAGGAAATGTCTGACGGGGTGCCAAAACGACACACCCACGTCGCAATAAAAGCCCTAGCCACGTCAGCGGCTGAAGTCGACACAAGAGGAACCGCCTCCGGCCAACGGGTCGTCCTATCCACCATGGTGAGGAGGTAGGAAAAGCCCTGAGAGGAGGGCAACGGACCTACCAGGTCGATGTTAACATGATCAAATCTCCTCTCTGGCACTAGGAACCGCTCCAAAGGGGCCTTCGTGTGGCGGTGCACCTTAGCGCGTTGACAAGCCACGCACCCCCCAGCCCAAGCTCTTACATCCTTTTTCAGCACACGCCAGACAAACTTTGCGGCTACCAAGCGCACCGAAGGCTTAACGCCAGGATGAGACAAGCCGTGCACCGCCTCGAAAACAGGACGCCTCCAGTTGGCGGGGACGACCGGTCGTGACAGGCCCGTAGAGACGTCGCACAGAAGGGTGATGCCCGCGTCGCCGAACACCACGTCCTCCAGGCGCAGCCCAGCGCTCTCTGTCTTCAGACTCTGGACGCCGGAGTCGGTGACCTGGTCCGCCGCCATACGAGCATAATCCAGGCCCAGCTGGACGGCTCCGATGACGACCCTGGAGAGGCAATCGGCAACCAAGTTCGACTTGCCAGCCACGTGTTTAATGTCTGTGGTAAACTCCGACATGTAGGAGAGCTGCCAGTGCTGACGTGCCGACCAAGGCTCCGCCACCTTTGACATGGCGAAGGTGAGCGGTTTGTGGTCTACAAACGCCGTGAACTCAGGGCCTTCCAACCGAAAACGGAAGTGCCGCACAGCCAAATAAAGACTCAGGAGCTCCCGGTCAAAAGCGCTGTACTTGCGTTCCCTCGGCGTCAGCTGCCTGCTGAAAAAGGCGAGCGGTTGCCAAGCTCCGTCCAGCCACTGTTTGTGCACCGCGCCGGCTGCGTAGTCCGAAGCATCCGTAGTGATGGAGATGGGAGCCGTGGATGAAGGGTGTGCCAGCAAAGCCGCTTGAGCCAGCGCGGTCTTAACTTCAGTGAAAGCGACTTCCGCCTCTGATGTCCAGTCGATCGCCAGAACGGGGGTCTTGCCTTTCAGAGCCTCATACAATGGCCGCATGATGTGGGCGGCCCGGGGGATGAAACGGTGGTAGAAAGTCACCATCCCCAGGAACTCACGCAGTGACCGGGCTGTAAGCGGGCGAGGAAAAGCCGCAACAGCCTCCACCTTCGCCGACAGGGGTGTTGCACCGTCCTTGGTGAGGCGGTGCCCGAGGAAGTTAATGTCCGACACCCCGAACTGGCACTTTGCCGGGTTGATGATCAATCCATGTTCGCCGAGCCGCGTAAACAGGGCCCGGAGGTGAGACAGGTGCTCCTCCACTGAAACGCTGGCGACGAGGATGTCGTCCAGGCACACGAACACGAACGGCAGGTCCCGCAGCATCGAATCCATCAGGCGCTGGAACGTCTGGGCGGCATTCTTGAGCCCAAAAGGCATCCGCAGGAACTCAAAGAGTCCAAAAGGCGTTATTACTGCCGTTTTGGAAATGTCCAGGGGGTGCATGGGCACTTGGTGGTATCCACGCACCAGGTCCACCTTGGAGAAAACCTTCGTGCCGGCCAGATGCGCTGAAAAGTCCTGTATGTGCGGCACCGGGTAGCGGTCAGGTGTAGTGGCATCGTTGAGTCGGCGGTAATCCCCGCACGGGCGGAAACCGCCGTTCGGCTTGGGCACGACGTTCAGAGGAGAGGCCCAAGGGCTGTTGGAGCGGCGGACGATGCCCAGGCGTTCCATGGTTGCGAATTCCGCCCTCGCTACGGTTAGCTTGGAAGGGTTCAACCGTCGGGCCCTGGCGTAGACTGGAGGCCCCTCGGTGGTGACGTGGTGCTCCACGCCATGTTTGGTGGTGAGCGCGGAGAAAGTGGGCAGCGTCAGATCTGGAAACTCGGCCAAAAGTCTGAGAAAAATGTCCTCCCCCGACAGCAAGCCCGACAGCCCGTCGTACGCTGCGCTGCCGAGTATGCACACGAGAGAAGAAAACGTTAAGGCATCCACTAAACGTTTATTTTTAATGTCCACCAACAGCCCATGAGCACACAAAAACCGCCCCAAGAAGAGGAAAAGAAATGTCCGCTGTTACAAACTCCCAGCTGAAACGCTGTCCACCGATGCACAAACACATAAGCCGTAATCCGTACGTGCGAATGGGCCCGCCGTTAGCCGTTGTTAGCCGTGGGCCGTGCCCGCCTCGAGTGATGTCTTCTCTCGACGCGGGAACCACACTCCGCTGCGCGCCCGTGTCGCACAGAAACAGGCTCCCTGAAACACTGTCTTTGACGAAAAGGAGCCTGCCCGTGCCGCCGACGCTCAGAGCCACTACTGAGCGTCGGCACCTCCGTTTCCCGGAGGCTTGTAGCTGCATGGAGCGATGCACCTCTTTGCCATCGTCCCGAAACGTGCATGGTAGAAGCACTCACCGGTATCCCCTCGCCGACTCGGCGTCGCTGTGTCCGGCCTCCGCCATGCTTTCTTGCCCGCAGAAGGGCCGCTGTGCGCCACAGCCAACGCCTCCGCACCAGACTGTCGTGTAGCCAGGAAGAAACGGTCCGCTTCTCCGGTCAGCGCGCGGGGCTCCGTGATGGATGTGTTGGCCAACGCTGTCTGGACCCGGGGAGGTAAGTGTTGAAGAAACATCTCCATGAACAAAATCTGGGTATCTTCCCCTCCTAGCAGGCTTAGCATCTTCTCCATTAACTGAGATGGCTTCTAACAAGTGACATGTAATGTAATGTAATCTCCGAGGCCCTGAATGTCCATAATTTGGCGGGCTCTTTCTCTCGTCGATAAACCAAATGTCTTCAGGAGAAGAGCCTTGATAGCCTCGTATTTGCCGAGGCGTGGGGGTGCTGCGATGAAACCCACTAAGCTGGCTGAAGTAGAAACCCCCAGCGAAGCCACCACGTGGTAATATCTCAGATCTTCGTTGTGGAGATGCTTGCAAGCGAAGTGAGCCTCCACGTGTGCAAACCATGCCTCCACGGCATGCTCCCAAAACTCCGGCAGCTTAACGAAAACATCTCGTTCAGCCATGTTCAAAAATGTTTCGGAAACTATCTCGAAAAACTCAGGGTCACCAGTGTAGTGCCGGTAAGAAGGAGTCGGAGGCGGAGTATTTAAAAGGGATTTTCAAGCAATAGTAGTATCAGACATGTACTCAGTGAGGAGAGTCAAGTTAGAGTGCGTTGCTAGCTCTAGCTTGGCAACCTATATCTCCGGTGTTACGCTAGACCAGGTCCGTGTAGGAACTGTGACCCAAAAGTGAATTATGGTTAACTAGAGTCACCACAGTATTCAACATTTTTACCTCATTTCAAGCTTAAGAGACATAATTACATCTTCACACCTGATTTTGCACCGCACACATCTTACTACAACATGGTTGGAATGTAAATATTGAAGAGGCCCTTGATCTAAAACAGTTCGAGAGTAATTATTTTAACAATTATTAATTATTATTTGATTATAGAGTAGCTAATGATGATGTGCTTTAAGTAGGGGTGGTGCAAAATGTAACAGAAGGCCAGGACAGACTGAGCAAGCTCACAGCACAGACAGCCTGCTGGCGGCTGACGAACCAGCATTATTGTAGCTATACTCCACTCTCCTAAATGGCTAATCTTTGTTGGATCTCACCCTTAATTGGTTAACAGTCTCCGCAGGGCAAGTGAAAGTGGTGCTATTTAAGGCTCCACCATGAAACAGCAACACTTTCATCTTGGCAATAACAGGCAACAATTATATTACCAGATTCGAAACTGAACCTTCTATCTACCCACTAATCAAAAACGCAGCCCATCTGTTGTGCTGTCTCTTTTGTAACTACTGTTTATCTGCAGCTTGTATGATAACTGTGTCTGGACACGAATTAACTGTTAAATAGAGCGCAATTAGATGTTATTTCTATTAAATTCTGCGGCAACAAAGGTAAGGAGAAGAAAAATAATAAGCGCATTTTATGTTTACTCTAACTGTACCAGACACCAGAGCAGCATCACTCTCTCTCCCTCTCTCTTTCTATCTCTCTCTCTCTCTCTGACATATACGCGCACCCGCGTCCGTGCGCACGTGCATCAATACAACCTTCCGTGCATGCGCGCGCCCCCCTGCTCCCCCTCTATCACGCACATGCAGACTGGCAGGCTCGCTCGCGAACACACACACACGAGCGCGCGCACACACACGCGCCTTCCCTTAGCTGTGCTTTTGTGTTTTGTCAGAATTAATGAGAAAAGTTCCCTTGCCCTAGGGGTAATTAGTGTCCTTGGAGTTAAATAAGCTAATACTTAGACACCTCTGGCACAAGCAATTATGTTTGTGTATTGAATAATTGATTCAAAGAGGGGGGAAGGGCTGCTAATCAGATCTGAGCATAATGAATTGATTTAATTAACAGGGGAATCCGAGGGTCTCTGGAAACTGCGCGCATTTATTCAGTAGCAGCAGAGGCGAGCGCGGCACATAAACTGGGAGAGAGGTTGCGTGAGTTTGCTTTTAGCAGTTGTCAGATTTGCAATTGGATTTGTTTGAATATAGTTGCTGTCTCGGAGCAAATGAGAACCAGAAAGAGAGAATATTAACAGCGAAGGAAAGCTCAGCCGTTCAGTCTGAGCGTCTGCTCCGTCCGTGTGTGCACAGTTAGATACAGGCGACACTAGATTTATATCGCTTTTCATTGTTTTGCCTCTTTTAATTCGCATGGAATTTATCAAGAGCAACCAACGCTGTTTGATCGCTATTTATTTGCATTACAGTTCAGTCCGGATAGGGGGATCTCGCCGCATATCTGGTCGTATTTCGCGTATGAATTAGTATTGATAGGAGGAGAGAAAGAAAACGTGCACACGGAAATTCATCTTTCCAGGGTTTTGGTTTATCGAGGCGTAGTCTAGTCAGCCGCGCGTTTCAAAGCCATTTCCAGGAGAAGCTGGGAGAGAGCGAGCAGTGCAGCCTGCTGGAGCCGAGGACGGATCGCCCGGGGAAGGACTCCTCGTTCCTCAGGACGATGGTGTTGGACAAGGAAGAGGGTGAGTAACATCTCCCACCGTAGTATGCCATAACCTGGGGAGTAACACGGCAAAACTACTGACATTTTACACGTTAAGTGTTTCCTGTCGCCCCGGACCCTGCGCACCCACAGCCTTCGCTTTATATCGGCTTTTCAATCCCATTTAGTCACGACAGGCTCGGTGTTTTCGCAAAGAACACTGTGGCTGCTTTCTGTACCATGAAGTTAAGGTGCACAAATAAACTGCCCCTGCCAAATTGCAGTTCAGTTCGGAAGAGAGTTGCATGTTTATTTAGAGCAGAATTGTGTGGAGCGTTTTGATGTGTGAGCCAGAGTTTGAGGATAGTCCACAGACGCTGCAGTGCATGTGGCTCCTCTTTTCTTTCCTCCTCTAAGTGCTTTTTGCGTCTGTGAAGTTAGCGAGGCAGCCTTTGACATCACCACGGGATGGGAGATGACAGCAGAGTGCTTTTAACTTGATTGCAAATTATGGATAGCGCCGCGGAACGCTCGCTCACTTTCCATCCAAATAGGCCTACTTGCATTACTTATCTATTTCAATGTATTTAGGTTAATGGGTGAGGCAATCTAATTAATTTTTATTTAAATCAAACTCGCCTCTAATGACGTCCTATTTTGGATTAAACTGATGCTGAGATGTGCAGTGCATTTATCACATTCATGTCTAAATGGTGCTTAATGTGTATTCATTTAAATACATTTAAACAGCATTATTATCATATGTTAATGGTGATATAGTACTAAAGGGGTTTATGTTGTCGGAAAAAAAAGTTATTGTGTGATGTTTTTTCTATCTTTAAGGGTATTTTAAGGGGTTGTTTTGCTGACCACCTGCTGACATGCACAATGACAACCTCCACTAACCTTAAAACACATATCTCTTTGTTTTGTTTATCAAAGAACAGTATATAGCCTTTGCCAATTTGACTTTATCCTGAGCTCTTCCTCCTCTGAAAGTAATGGATGCATTCATAACCCATTATTTATGTTTGAAAATGGATATTTCATATCTCTTAGCAGAGCATCCTTTCACTTACACGTCTAAAAACCAATAAAAGGATTGCGGCAGAGACATAAATTGGTCTGTCTGGCTGAATCCATGTCGCGCTCCAAATGTACCCAAATTAACTCAACTGTAAATTGTCTCCTTTGGATGTCTGTCTAGCTAAAAGTTCCCTATATGATTCATGATTCAGATTGCTTTTAACAGTTATTGGCTAAGCAATATGGTAAATGTACAAGGTGATGCAAATGGCATTAGTGGGAAAGGATGCACAGGAGCATGTAATGCAGTCAATACTACATTAACTACTGATGCCCAATTACAGAACCAGGGAGAGTGGCTTTTAGGAGCATTAGGACTTGCAGAAAAGCTGAGATCACCTGCTGCTCATTGCCTAAAAGCTTCACCCTTTATTTGCTGGACCCGACATGCAGCTCCAGCATTTTGGCCAGGTTGTCAACAGAGCTGCTAGATCTGGTCTCTTTCATTGTGGTGCCTCTTAGCGTTTATTGCTCTAAAGTTATAGGCTTGTCAATTCAAACCTTCTTGTCTAATGTATCCACTTAGTGCCTGCACAAATAAATGTGTGCTTATGCAGAGAGGGAGGTGTGGGTTAGTGTTTTGGGTAGCCACATGGGTGTATGTGTATGATTACTGTCTGTTCCTCTTGATTGATTCACTATTATGACTGTGTTTGTTTGTGCGCAGTGCTTAAGTGTTCATATTTCAGTCCTTATGTGGCCTATAAAACTGATCTTGAGTGTGTCTGGTCTCTTGTTTAAATCTCCCATCCTAGTTGGCAACAAAGTAATGCTGCTGCTTGTTTGCAAGACCGAAACCTGACATTTTTTGAAGTCTGGAATAATGTGTGCAACAAAAGCAATAACCACAAATTAATATGTGACCCCTATATAAGCTCCATTGAAAAAAATGTGCCTGTTACAAACAATTTCCCACAGTATTATTCTCAAACGTTTATTTTAGGATCTTAAACGGATCGCAGTCTCTAATCAAAACTAAAAGATTTCTTTAATTAGTTCTATGTTCCTGCACATGTCTTCTGCGCTGTCCATCACAAGGTAAATACACAGCGTAAACCTATCACCATACTCTCAGATGCTGCAGTTATTAGCTTATAATATTCTCTTCCTGGTAGAGCACTGAGTCAAACAGCACGGAGGAGGACTGTAAAAGGAATACAGGCACTGCTCTGTGAAATAACCTTAATACGCAGGTCATAGTTGGTAATGAATAGCAACACATGTACCAAATTCTGTGTCAACATTTTATTTCACCCTGTGATATGAAGTTCCAATTTGCGTCTAATTTGAGAGGAAAAAGCAACTCAGCCATTTTCTCTCCTTCTTCATAAGTGCAGGAGAAGCAAGTGGGTGCACACTGAAAGCACATTTTTGCTGAACATTAACACAACTATAGTATACTCTGTGCAGACTTGAGCAGAAGAGATATCCTTCATCTACTGATACCTTTCTGGTTACCTTTGCTTGTTAATTTATGACCCTGTTATCATCCTGTCCAGTGAAATGTGTACATTCATAAAGCATGTGATTGAAAAGCCACGCTTCAGATGAATACAGGCTGGTGATCTGTCGGCTGCTGTAATAAAACTTGGGCTTCAGGCTCCAATTTTTATTTTGAAATAATAAGAATTGCTTCATTCTTTACCGGTGTTACCATGGTAATACTGTCTCGTAGCAATGTTTTATTGATTTAGAAAGTGGACGGTAATATTTATTTTCTGTTATTTGGTTTCTGAGGGTTGATTTCTAATTTCCAGTTCGAGATTACTTTTATATGTTCCTTAAGTCTTTTCACTTTTCCAAAGGAATGCAATCTTCTCCCTCGTATTTGCTATTTTCTCAGCTTATTGGTTTGCTCTTACTTTAAAATTAAACTTGCCAATTTTAAATATTGAAATTATGTCTCATCTCTGTGCTCTGGGGCCTGAACACTATTACAAACACATTGCTTCATTTTTTATATATTTCTAAAGTCACTACAGTTTCTTCTAATAGCTTTATTACAGGCACCTGTATGGACTTTACAGTACTCCCCTAATTATTAGATAAACATAGATTGTCAAAGGTGGAAGTTTTAAACAGTACCGAGTGTAGCCCATGTGCACAATATAATACCAAAACATATAGATGGTACTTAGGTGATAATAACGTTATCTTCAGCACAATGCAGTATCATTTTCTCCGTTAGTGCATTATACTAAAGCTATTCTCATTAATTCCCACAAAATTGCATACCATTTCAGCCGTTTCATTCAGTGTAATCTGTTTCTGATGTGAAAAATGCAGATTCTTCACTGGAGACAATTGTGTCCGTCCCCACTAAACCTTTAGATCCATATCAGACCTGATAGTTTCACATGTACGGGTGCTGGAGTTCTGTATCATTTTCCATAATCTCAGTGGAATTCAAAAGGGACTGAATTGAGACTTGAGAGACACGTGTTAGCGAGCGCGCCCACCTGCCTTTGATGTAAATGGCTGCACTCATTAGAGTGCCACACAAACTCAATTATGCACTTTAGCGCAGTAAGAGCATCTCTTTTATTATTACCAGAGGACACATGCTAACCATGTTATCACACAAATTTTCACCACAAGATCAGGGTACAACATGAATCGCTGGGAACGTACAATCCCTGTTGTATGGTCCAAAGTCTGACCCTTTTATTCACTTTAAACAGTTTTTTCAATGTCATGAAGAATTTCTCGTTTATTGAGCTGTGAGTGAGAACCATGAAGGTTGCAGAGATAAAGATTCCATATTGACAATGATATGTACAAATAAGAAACTCGGAAGGCATACACACATCAGTCGTAATGTTACAATGAAACAGTTTACAAAACCGACGAACGGCTCGACAGGGGTGAATTGATAATGAAAAAAAACACCTTAGAGAAACCTAATGATTTATCCCAAGCTCTGAGAAAAACGCAAACAAGACCTTTTTATGTAGCAAAGGCAAAACGCAATTCTCGCCGAAAAACAATAAACACAAATGACCTCCTCCATAGCCAGTGACTCGGTATTAAGGTATTACTGTATTTTTTAAACAACGTGTAATCCATGTTTAATGGCCATGACACACCACATATGTAAACAGTGTATTGTTAGTTATGCATCCATTTGAACCTGTTGAAAGCAGGTGTCACTGCCACTTGTCACTGCAAAGATAACTCTCAAGTTGTTTACTACACTCATCTTGATGTGGGGGCAAAAAGTATTCATACGTTGATGCCGCAACAAAAGACGCGCACACGTCCGGCAACATCATCACTTTTTTCACACAAAGCTATTTTTTTGATCTGTTTAGCTATTGCGCGTTCTCACTTGATAAGCATTCTGATGCACTCTGTAAAGCGTATTCTGTGCTTGCTCGAAAATAATTTCTCCTTTCTTCTGTCACCGTAGGCTTAGTGCAGAAGAAAGGGAAGATGGGAAAGGGGAATGACATGCAGCAAAGTTCTTGAGATGAGCAGATGTCAAAACTACCATGTCACCAGCTAGTTATTTGGCAGCTTAGAGTCAAAATTGCAAAGATCATTACTGAAGGGAAGCTTCATACACATATTCAACATTCAGCAAGGAAATAGCATGTCACCTGTTACACTCTAAGGCAATGTTAGCACATTGTACAGTTAATCCCTAGAGAAATTCAGACACACACAGCATAAACGACATATTTGAAAGGATTTTAGACCCAGAAGAAACATGAATGTTTATATGTTTTATTTCATTACTATGGTGCATTATTCATGCGTGAACTGAATCTCAACTCATAATTGGACTCATGTCTTAAAATGCTTTCCTGTGACAAAATGCAACATTATTTACTATTATTAATTCAGTATTACACAGGTCTAATCCCCACTGAAATAGTCCCATGATGCACATTTAAATGAAAGGCAGTATAGCAGGTGTATATACAGTATGCATGTTTGTGTGTAATATAACCG